GGAGGTGAAGTTAGTTTGTTCTGCTGTAAAACGAGCGTACAAGAATAATGCAGTATAAACACCGTTCAAAGTCAAGGGAAGGATACTCATTAGCAACTGTGGGCTTCGCATCGTTACAGAACAGCCAGTTCGACACTGACTGCGCACTTCGTGCTGAAGAACTATCTTTTTTTTTTTGTTGGAGCAAATAGATGAGAAAAGTGTCATAGGGAGGGCTTTTTTATCCACATTCTTTTCAAGGCGCATGTTGTCTGTGCTGCAGCATAGCTGCTGGAGCTGCCTAAACTCAAGCACAGCTCCCCATGCCCCAGGCTGAGGGATGAGACTGGGAAGGGCTGTGGGGCTGCTGCTGCCTCCAGAGAGGTGGGAGGGGAGCCAAAGACAGCGGGGCAGGCTGGAGGTCATCAAGTTTGGGGTGCCTCTGACAGCAAAGGCAACGCAGATGGTGGTTGCCACTGTAGGAAAGCTCAGCTCAACTGTAGATGCTGCCCCATCCAGGACTGAGCCTGGCTGCTTCTTCTCCCCACACCTCTGTGGTTACCTTCGCTGCCTTCCTCTGCCTGTGCTCAGACCCACCCTGAGCAATACCTCCAAATTTTTTTTTTACACTGTTATTTTAAGCATTGTGGCTATTTGTCTGTAGTTATGTTCCTGAAACATAAATCTTATTAGATGTACCTGGTCTGTGAAGTTTATAGATGTTTCCTTATCCCTCACAGCAAAACTAAGTGCAGCACCGGGTATTTGCTGTCTTGGTTTCTTAAATGGCTCACATTGCCGTAGTACCCAGCTACTCCTCAGTCTTTACCATGTGTATCTTAACACCATCCCCAAAGTCATGTTCCCTCTACTTGGACTTTTTTTTTTCTAAACAGTCACTATGGGCATCAGCCCTCCACAGTTCAGTGCAGAGGCAATCTGCCCCATAGAAGCCAAGAGTCACTGACAGGACTCATGAGCTCCCTAAGATAGAGCAGGCTTTTATTCCTTACTTGTTAAGATGCTCGCTGCAGTCTTTACAATTAAATGAAAGGCTGTTACAGAAGCACTGATGACCAATCTTTTGTAAACTAGGTTCAGGGAGAATTTACCACCTGTTGCTCACATGGAGCAGCACAACCACATTAATTCAAATAACGAGTAAAAGCACCTGCTTTTAATATGTGCTACTTGCTGTTTTCCAGAGTGAAGATTCAGATGAAGAAGACCTCTGTGCTATCAGTAATAAATGGACTTTCCAAAGAACCAGCAGACGATGGTCTCGGGTGGACGACATTGATGCTTTGCTTCACCGATCAGACAGACATGGATCTTCTGGGGACATTAAAATGAAAAATACAACAAGCAGCGAGAGCGTCCTTACAGACCTGAGTGAACCTGAGGTCTCATCTATTCACAGCGAGAGCAGTGGGGGAAGTGACAACAGGAGTCAATCCGGCATCAGCAGCGCTGCCAGGGAGACCTGCAACTGCTCCAGCCAGCATGATGTAGAAAGCACACTGCTGCAAGACTCCACTGCCATAAACACCGCCCTGTCGCCCAAGGACAACCTGAAGAATGAGAAACCAACACGAACCAAAGCAAAAACCTTTCTAAAACGCATGGAGACACTAAAAGCAAAAGGCGTGCATGGAAAGCTAAAAGGGTCCGGAAGAGCAGGTCCTTTAGAGATAAGTGGACCTGTTCTCCAGTATGAGCCAAAATCCTTGAAAGACATGCACTGTGTACAGATAGTCAATGGCGATCTCCAAAACTCAGGACAAGACTTGGTCAAAAGAGGACTTTCCTTTTCTGCCAAATCCAGCAGTGACAGCAGTCAGTCTGAAAACAGCAGCAGTGGGGTGAGCACACCATGTCTGAAGGAACGCAAATGCCATGAAGCAAACAAGAGAGGCGGGATGTACTTGGAGGACCTAGATGTTCTGGCAGGAACAGCCTTACGGCAAGTGGTGGACCAAAACCGCAAAAATGAATTTCATTCCCAAGAGAACTTGGTTGTGCATATTCCCAAGGATCATAAACCAGGGACCTTCCCAAAGGCACTTTCTATTGAAAGCCTCTCACCTACAGACAACAGCAACAGTGTAAACTGGAGGACAGGCAGCATCTCTTTGGGAAAGCAGAACTGCTCTACTCCAAAAGAGTCTGGACTGATGGCTTGCTGTCCTAAAGAGAGCAGAATTAGTATTTACGACAATGTGCCAGGTTCCCACTTGTATGCTAGTACTGGGGACCTCCTGGACTTAGAGAAAGATGTCCTTTTTCCTCATTTAGATGACATTTTGCAACATGTCAATGGACTCCAGGAGGTGGTAGATGACTGGTCAAAGAATGTGTTGCCAGGTCTGCCAGTTGATGATGTGTCAGTCAGGGAATCCCCGTTGTTGCCTTTCCAGTTGCCCACACAGATCACACTTGATTTTGAAGGAAACTCTGTCTCTGATGGCCGGACCACACCGAGTGACATGGATAGAGATGGAACATCCCTGAATGAATCCGAAGCCACTGGTGTTAGGGACAGAAGAGACTCTGGGGTGGGAGCATCACTCACAAGGCCAAGCAGGTAGGTAGCAAAATTTTGTACATAAATCCATAGACTGTGAAATACAATATAATGAAGCAGAGGCTCTCAGCCTGGGAGTCAGAAGGTGCAGGGTGCCACTACGGTTGTACTCATCCTGTATGGGCATGGGGACTTCCCAGGGAAGGGTGAGACTCTGGGAGAAGGGACATCCTGTTATGGGATTTCTTATGTGGAATCGGTTTAATAGAGCAAACTAAGGCATTTTTTTCTCTATTGATCCATTGATTACATAGTAGGACCCTGTATATGTTGTGGGATGTATTTTCAATTTGTCTTCTAAGTTATGCACCCCAGTATTTATGCGTCAGTAGCCTTGTGGACTTTTCAAATGCACTGGCCTGCTTTAAAAATGTGTCCTTTGGGGCTCAGAGAGAATTCCCCTACCCTGCCTCGGTCCCTTACGTGACGGGGTAAAATGATGGTATAAAGTAACTTCTTAATAAAAGTGAAAAGCAGGATTTTGTTAATAGTTTGCAGACCTGTTTTAAGTCAGAGGGATGAGTTCCTGTTGAGCCAAGGGAACACGGTCCTGGGTAAAGGCGTGTGCGGATCGATACTGCTGTGTGTAGAGTGGCTTTGTACATGCAAAAGGAGTGAGAAAATATCTGGTATTTTCTGATCTACCATCAGGTTTGTCACGTCCTCACAGAGGATTTTGCCATGCCATGGTTTACTGCTGCCCATGCTTGCTCACCACCACCACAAGCAAGTGAACTCGAGGAAACTACTGAGTAAATGAGCAGTGCCAAAGTTTTTAGGATTTGAGCCAGAGCTCATGTTTAGCAAAACAAGAAACTGAACTGAATTTTGTTCCAATGTATCCAGTATATAAAGAAAGTGCATTGGAGTAAAGAGAAGATGTGAGTGGCTCAATAGCTTGGTGGTTATGGTTCTTGCCAAGGAGACACAGGGTTCAATCCCTTGTCCAAAAAACCCTTCAGCATTTAATAATAGAGATATTTGGAGAACCTCATCTCCAAATACCTTGGTGGTCAGGCCGGTCCCCTGGGAGGTGAGGGACCAGGCATCAAATCCCAGTTCTGAGTCAGGGAGAGAACATTTGAATCTGGATCTCCCACATCCTGTTGGAAATGTGTGGGCTAAAGGGCACAGCAGGCAGCACTGCTTCCCTGAGTACACCCACTTTGTAAAGCTAACATTCAAAAAATCAAAGCTTGGGCATTTCCAGAATTAAAAGAGATTGAGCAAATTGTTTTGTTTGCCTCCAAGGTACGTTTTCTTTCAGTCGACACACCATGAGCCATAATGTTGTGTGTATGTTTATGTATGTTTTGCATTTTGCCCGGCACTATCTCACAGTATAGCATCTTCTTCTGCCCAGTTTAAAGCAGTTGTCTGATTTTTCTATTGTTTCTTTTACTAAAGGCGATTACGATGGCATAGTTTCCAAATCTCTCATCGCCTGAGCCACTCCATCGCATCACTTCACATCAGCAATCAGTCAGCAGCCCAGCTGAATCTACTGCAAAAATTCTCACTGCTTCGTCTTACTGCCATCATGGAAAAATACTCCATGTCAAACAAACATGGCTGGACCTGGTAAGTAGCATCAATAACTGGAAGGGAAATATTTTTAGAAGAAAATAGTTTCTCCTAATTCTGTTATTCTGGTAGTAAATTCAGTAAACACAATTAGGGGGAACAACTGACTTCAGCTGTAGAATTTGAAACTGACCCCTTTAATCCATTGCTGCCTACTGGCTCAGTGGCGAAGTCAGAAATAGGTCCTGGAGATCTGACTTCATTCCTATGCCCTAACAGAGAGACAACCCCAGTCTCTCTAACAACACTCCAGTTCCAGAAAAGTAAACAGGAGTAGGAGAGAGTGATCAAAAGTAGGAAATATTTACAGTAAGCCTTCCCCAGAATTCATTTTGTAATGCAAAATGAAACAGCTGCTGCTGATACTTCATGTGTTCAATATTGGTTTGTTTGTGCTTTAAAAGAAGGGCTAGAACAGTTACAGGACTTCTCTCTGCAGATCAAAAGATGTAAGCTTTAGCCTAGTCCTGGGCTTGCCTTAGAGGGAGCTTGCAGCCGTAGCAGCTGTAAGAGCTACCTGGTCACTCAGGGAGTGGAGTGAAGGACAGATGGACATGAATGCCGGCAATGTGCCTCCTCCTGTAGCAACTGGCTACAGAAATCTGCACATTTAATACAGACCCTGATGGGCCACGCAGACTGAAGTATACTGGAATGGAAATGGGCATAGAGGAGAGATATAAGTATCTGAGGAATAATCAAAAGGATAACAGAAACTTTCCCTAATACACGGAGACACTGAGTCCAAAAATAATACGACTTGACATTTACGTTGTGATTTCCGTGTTCAGAGTACTTCACCAAAACCCTGCTAAATTCAGCTGTGAGATAGATAAGACAAGTTTTCCTTTAAAAACAGAAAAATAGATGCATGTGAGATTCACTTCACTAACATCAGCCACTCCGAAGTTTTAAGTCTAATCTGAGCAAGTTGGGTTGGCTGGCTGTGGTCAGTGGAAAAAGACAGGCAACGCCAAAGGCAGCTCATTCTGTCCAAGGCTCAGGGTTTGGGTCACCCTCCAGAGGTGCCTTGCTACCACAGAGGCATTCTGGGCTGCTAACTCTTCCTAAATCTGTGTTAGAGAGCTAAAATTCAATCAGATGAGCCCCCTGATTGCTCTTCTCCTTTGCTGCAGCTCCCTGCAGCTAGCTGACAGCGTCCGCACTGAAATTAATCTCACCTTAACCAACTCCAGATAAGCAGGCTGGAATACAGCAAATTCTACATCCTGCTGTTTCTCCCTCCTGACAAATATTTCTTCAGTTTGTATAATCAGTCTCTAAGGATTTGTGAGATTGGGACTTTAAATAGCTGTAAAGTTATATGCTGTACTGTACTCCTTCAGTAGGTCATTTAATCCAAGTTTTATCTCCTTCCCACACCCATGAGAAAAATCTTCATCACATTCGGGTCATATTCATCTTTTTTTTTTTTTTTTTAATTCCACTGCAGTCATGACTCCCACAAAGGGAATCCAGTTTGTTCTCATTTTCACCATCATTTTTGGAAGAAAGCAAGCTCACCAGCTTCACTTAAGTTACTCAGCTAGAATAAATCATGTAACACCAGGGATGAATCTGGCACATAGGCATTCCCCACCATCATTTATTACTGTAAATTCTTAGTCAATAGAAATGCTAAATCATGTAACCGGTTGTATAAAAATCATTCAGCATGTTAGAGGACTGAATCTGCTTTTCTCTTAGATACCCTCTCCACTATGCTTTGCTGTGCCATTCCTTTGAGTCCCTAATGGATGCTTTAAACCATTTTGGCTTCAGCTGGATGACAACTGCGTAGTAAAATCTTTTTGCTAGAACAATTTTTATGCTCTATCTTAGAGATAGAGACCATCTACTTATAAAAGTTGTCAAGAAATCCATAAATTATACAGACTGTAAAGTGTCCATGTATTGTGCATTAAACATTATTTCACATCTTTATAAAAAAGAAGGTGACCCCAGTTACCAGTTTCTGCCAGCAGTGTTACCCAGAGAGACCGTGTAAATACTCCAATATTTTCATGCAGCCTGTTCATGTTCATTTTCAGGTCTGTGCCAAAGTTCATGAAGAGGATGAAAGTCCCTGACTACAAGGACAAGAATGTCTTTGGTGTGCCTCTGATAGTTCACGTCCAGAGAACAGGACAGCCTCTTCCCCAGAGCATACAGCAAGCACTACGCTACTTACGGAGCAACTGCCTAGACCAGGTATGGACTTTGCTCCAGGGACTCGGTCGATTTTTTCTGAAGAGCAAGCAATGGTGAACCTTTTTGTACTTAGTACCAGAATTATTTGAAGATTGTTATATCTCATGTTGGGCCCAGATCTCCTCTGGTGATTTGATGCCTGGTGCCAATACTAATGGTTTGCCATTTTGAGATTTGTATCCAGCTAATCTGTTGAATTCTTGTAGCTATAACAGTCCTGCTGATGTGTATGCAATAGCCTACCTCAAGGAATGACATGAGATCCTCATGTCTATTGAATCAGAACTCAGGACTCTCTGCTTCTACCTGTATCTGCATTGCTTGTGCTTTACTGTTGCCACTGAGGGTTAACTGCATTCGCCATTTCACAAGATATGGTACAAAAGGTTTTATTTACTTAGCAAAGAAAGAAAAGTCCAAGAATAGAGAGCAAACTCAGCAAAATATTCGAAGTATTCTGTTGACAAAGTCAGATATATCCAGATAG